AGGGGGGTTGGGAAGGAGGAGGGGGGTTGGGGAGGAGGGGGGAGGGAGGGAGGTGCATACATTAGGCTAGACAAGAATTTGGTGGTAAACTAGAATTATTTTGACACACAAAAAATTGTACTCCGATGTCTTACTGATTGAGGAATGATGAAATGTTTGTTTGAAAAGAAATAAAACTTTTGAACGAAAACCACCAGTCATGAAAAACCACTTATTGGGAAGTTCCTGGCCACAATGGCCAGCCTGCAGGAAATTATGCATTAAACAAAAAAGGGAGAATCGGGAAAAACAAGTTGTGCCTCTAGCCTTAAGATTGCCTGGTCCCAAAACCTGATCTGGACACCTGGTTTAATCCCAGGCAAAAAGGCAGTGGTGGAATCTCTCCTTGAGGTAGGTGATCATTCTTCGCTGGCTCAGCTGTTGGCTAGGTTAAGCTGTCCTCAGAAAGCCAACTGCAGCCGGTGAAACTCTCCCCAAGGGTCGGCTCGGCTAGTATATGCAGCGTTGGCGTAACGCTGTGTTGCTGACAGACAAACTCTTGCTCAACATGAAGTGGAGGAAGGCTCTGTCTGAATGCTCCCCTGAGGTCGGGTTTATTTCAGGGGAGAGGTCTCGATCTCAGGAAGGAACGAATGCCTCGGTTGCAGACAATACGCAAGCAGTGAGGGTTTAACGGACAACACAGATGCAAATGAGGATTTAACAAATACACGGATTCAAACCGGGCTATTTAGAGGACTATTTTGTTTGTTTTCCTTCCTATTCGCAGTCGAGAACAGGCAAAAAAGTAAGAAGATGGACAGGGACTAAGGCCGTGATGGCAAACCTATGGCACGCGTGCCCGAAGTGGCATGCAGAGCCATGTCGCCTGGCACGAGCCAACATCACTGGTTCCTCTTCCGGGTTTCTGCCCTGCATGCACACAAGACGATCAGCTGCCCTTCGTACGTGCGGCAGTGCCTGAAACCGGAAGAGCTGGCCTTCCGTTTTCATGCCAGTCAGCTGATCTGCTCGTACGCATTCATGGCAGTAACCGGAAGACTTGCTGGCCAATGTGCATGCGTGCGCCGGAAACCAGAAGTACATTTTCCGGCACATGCATGCCCCCTGGGCAATTCCTCTTCCTGGTCTTCCCAGACGAGCGCGCACTAAGTACTCCCTTTTTGGCACTCGGTGCTGAAAAGGTTCGCCGTCACTGGTGTAAGGGATACTAATGGGAATCTCCTTATCAATCAAAGGTGGCCTTCTCTAACCTCCACATATTGGCTGTTGAGGGTAAAAGTCACAAAGGATGATATCTGGGGAGCTGGGAAAAGGCTGGCTTGGGAATCACTATACAAGTGAGAACATCCAAAGTGCTCCAGAGTGGCCATCTTGATGTAGCACCAAAAGACAGTTGTACAGTAGTATACTGTGTTGCCCCTACTCTTGGGCTTAGCATCAATTGTGTATCTTCCTCTGGTTATTACGGGATTCAGGGTTTTGGATGTGTTGTTTTTTTTCTGACACCAATCAACATTAGGTGGTCATAGGCTCATAGCCATACAGCAGTGCATTATGGGTGTTATGAGGCAGTGGCTATCATTCAATCAGAGTGCTGTTTCTATTGTCTGTTGACTCCTCATCTTCCTCCTCCTCTTCTATTTTTTTCTTTCTTTCTGAATTATTACTTCTGAAGGTCTTGTTCACCCTGCTCCTTGGGACAGAAAGAACCATGAAGAGGAAGGATGGTGACAGATCAAACTTTCCACCAAAGGGCACCAAAATCCCACATAAAAGTGATCCTTTAACTCAGTCTGGTGTATCTGTTAGCTAAGGGGGTCCCCAAACATGGTAACTTTTTAAGACTTGTGGACTTCAACTTCCAGAATTCCTCAGGGAGTTGCAGTCTCCAGGTCTGAATGTTGCCAAGTTTGAACATCCTTGCATTAGCTCCAGGAGAGGTACAAGGAGAAATCAGTTCATGCAAGACAATTGTAGGAAGTCAAGTATGTAACTCGACATGTCAACCCGTACTCATCACAAGCATTTCGATTGAAGATTCACCTACTGGATGAGCTTGTGTTCAGAAACAGCCTTGCATTGCATACAGTGGGAAGTGTTTTGGGAGGCCAAGAAGCTTGGCCAAATTGGGTTGGTAGTCCTGAGCATTTCAACATAATGGGTTTTTTAAAGTATATCTTTGCATAGGACCCAGCCAAGTGATTGGGAAAGGCTTACCTCCCCAGGTAAGAGCCCAAACTATGATGAGCTGATCACCTCCTAGAACCAGAACTTGGATGTGGAATGGTCCAGTTTCCCATCGCAAGCTCAACGCATTCAACCTCAGCTCTTTCTCCCTTGAAGAATGCCACTAATGTAGCAGTTGGCCACTATCTCGCTCCTTCCAGAGCAGTTGGGAAGGCCAATCTGTTGTGGTACCCCTGAAGATGTGGAGCCAAGAAATCCAAAGCTCCATCAATGGGGCTCCCTGGGAGCCTCATTATCCTGAGCTTTCAGACCCCAGGACCATAAATGGAACTGCAGGAACCCAAACAAATTTTGAGACTATCCACGACAGCATCTTTTCCAGCACTTCAAATTACAAAAAAGAAAGTCTTCACAAGTTTTCAAATAAATAAAAGGAACAGTTGGGGAAGTCACTTTGAAGCTTTACCCAACTGCGCAGGATCACACAGACAGTGAGACAGTCTCTTCTGCAAAGCTTCTTCTTACAATAGTCCTGAGCCAGCTGAGTGTCCTTCAGTTCCATTTCTGGAAATGAGCACAGCCAAGGCAGTTCCAGTGCTAGACTTCTGGCACCTAGAAGAGCAAAAACCATCCTTAATTGGTGATTTGCCCCATCAACTAAAGTTCCTCTTTCATACTATGTGTCAAGTCTTCTCCTGCTGTCCCCAATGCTGATTGCCCTAGTCCTGCACCAACAGCAGCAAAGGGTATCCTTCCAGCCCACTGTCTTAAGTCCATTTGATGCTGAGGAAGACATCCCCACCACAATTGCCTGCGTTCCTGCTTATAAATTATAGCGTAGCACCGTGAAATTAAGGCGAATCCCAATGGGGGAGAACAGGTACCACTGCTGAAACTTGACACCGGATGGGGGTTCATCAACACCCCATCAGCCGGGTGTCGATTGTCATACAATGCTGTGCCTCACACCAGGTTCATGAGGTGTCTCCAAATCAACCGCAACGGCAACGTGTTCCTTCTGGCAACAGATGCAATGCAAGAAGTCCGAGACGTTGTGCGTGAAGAGGCGGCGGCAGGGATGCAAGTACTGCATGAAAGAAAGCATGAAGACAATGGCCAGACAGTAGGCCACCAGCAGCTGCAGCACAAGCATGGGAGTGCAGACGTACTCGTAGAAGTCCTCCTTGAAGAAGTACCAAACCAGGAGCAGCAGGCTGTTCTCCAGTCCACGGAACACATAGAATAAAACTAAACAGCCCCAGTTTTGGGAGCGGACAATCAGGTCTCGCCTGGACAACCTGAGCTGGACAGCTGACCAACAGAAGACATTGATGCCACCGTAGAGCACAGTGATGCAGATCAGGACAGTCAAAGTTCCCACTCGGCTGAAGTTTTTCTCCACATTCTCGGGCAGTTTGGCCCCGCTTCTCCAAAACTCAATCCACGGTAAGAAGAAGAAGACCAAGAAGTTGGCCGCCCCGACGGCCAAGCCATAGTACTTGAAGACGGTCCCAAAGAGGACCAAGATGGTGATGCGGGTGGAGATCTCCAAGCTCCTCCATAAGATGATGCAGATGAAGGCCAAGGGGTGGAGGTGGATCTTGTAGTCATCGTACTTGATCTGGATGGCCAGGGTGTTGCAGACCAAAGCGCCATACGTGACTGAGAGTAAGCACATGCTCATCAGCACAGCTAGAAGGGAAGGAAAAAGGAAAGGTAAGCAATGAAGAGCAAACCACGATCAACTTGTAAAAATTAGAGGCGCTGGGAATCACTGCAGTGGTTAATTTACTAGTTCCAGGAGTGGGCTTCAAAAATTGCAGCAATGGGTTCGCTGCCCTGTTGCTGGGTGGGTGTGGCCATAGTGGGCGTGGCCTGGTCAGCCTCCTACACCAGTGGTGGGTTTCAAAAAATTTTTGAACCTACTCTGTTGGTGTGGCCTCCTTTGT